CGAGAAAATGAATCTTTTTGTTTTCAAATAAGGAACTTTTGTTTTTTTCAACTTCAAAATGCGCCAGCCCTTAGAAAAAAAAAGTTTCTCATCGGACACCATAACATCACATGGCAACTATATATACCGGACAATATTACTATCACTATTATCTCAAACTTACTAGCAAAATCTCTTTTGCGATTCAAGTGTATTTCTAAGCCATGGCTTTCTTGGATTTCCGATCCCAAATTCGAGTTGTTGAATCAAGAACGACGAGGAGGAGCGATTGCGCTTTCGTACATCAAAGTTATGCCCTTATTCCGATTTCTAAGCCAAAAAATACTCTTCAAAAATCTTAGATATCCATTCAGTAAAATTAGGCCACTCAACAAGGATGGCATGCAAGTCTATTCCACGCTTCACATTGGGTTGTAATTTGTTGAAAGGTTCTTGTCATAGTCGATCTCCTACTAATAAAGGTGGAAGAGAATATATTCTTGTGGAATCCTACTACAAGATTTTGTTCTAAGTTGCTTGAGCTCGATGATTTAACAAGAGAAGGCAATATTATGCTCGGGGACTTTGTTTTGACTCCTCTAAGAATGGTTACAAGCCAATATTTTTTATATACTCAGTGTATATTGATTATAAATATGTTATAATTGCAAGTCTTAAAGGCAAAGAGTGAAGAAAGTTGGATGTCTCGTATTATATCCCTTTGGTCCGTGGTGCCATTGCTTTGCACGGACAACTTCACTATATGGTAGGTGTCAAGAAACGTTATTTAAAGTAATGCTACCTAGACAAAAAAAATTGTACTAACCTCAATTGAAATGTAGTAAATACTGGGATTTGAGGGATTCACCTCCTCGTAACGAATTAATTTATTTTGATGCTTTATGTTACGCGGTGTCTTCTTGAGATTCCTTGGAAGGGCAACGCAAGGCTAAGCAACCGATGTCCGTGCAGTTACTATCCACCAACTGGGGTACCCTCCGTAAGCTAGACGAGATTGACAATGTCGTACAGGAAAATCAATATCAAGAGCAATTGAGAGAATAAAAAGAGAATGAGAATGAAAGAAAGCTTGATTGCATTAACGAAAGCTATTACAGAAAAGCAACACGGTGTCGAGGGGGAGAGACACCAATATAGAGAATTGGTTGCTTGTTAGGAAGTTTGATTGCTTGATCCCCTAATAATGCTTAAAAAAAATAAACCAAAGTTAGAGGACTTGGCCTAATTAAGCTAGAGAAACATAATGGAAATACAGGAAGTAAAACTACTCTATATTTACAATGAAAATAATTTAGATTTCTACAAGGTAGAAGCAGGTCTATTGGCAGCAATATTGCCTTTAGCATCAAAGTCTGTGCGTGCGACGCTGTTGGCATCTGATCTTCCTGCGGTTGGGCGCTGGCGAGGGCTATCGGTGGGGCGATATAGGCACAGGCGCACTTGTCACTTGGCGCGGCCAAGACCACGGGACCATCCATGAAACTAGGCGTTGGGAGGCTTGCCAGAACGCCATGAGGCACGTCCAAGGGGTCACGGGCATGGCTGGAAAGCCGCCCATGACATTTCATACGTTTCAAGAGCCTTGTCCACCTAAGTTTATTGTTGGTTTAGGAGTTTTAAATAAATGCCTTTCCGTAACTTGCTTGGCACGTGATGAGGGTAATGAGATATTGATCATGAAGGAGTACGGAAAAAGGGAATCATGGACATCCTTATATTTCATAAGGAATTTCGAAGTAAATACGTAATTATGATGGCAAACAAAGATCAAGTTGTTCTGTACAATTCTAAGAATAATACTGTATTCGTGTTCGTACACCGACCGAATATATATCTGCCATTACGTATGGAAAGCTTGATCGCCCCCCAGGGCTACTACTGGTGTAATAAGCGACACAAGAAGTTTGGGAAATCCAAGTGTGGATAAAACGATACCGTGCTGGCTGCTGGATCTATTTAATTTACGTTTGTTTCATTAGCATAAAGTTTGTAGGTTTACATATTCGAACAACAAAGTATTGCCTTAGGTAAGTAGTATTTAAGTAGTTTGAGTACCACGTTAAGAGGGGCAAATGGACAAAAAGAAAAAACTTGTTGGCAATCCAACCCTTAATAGTGATCCCTTAATTAGTGGATATTTTAAAACTTGATGGCAATTAAACGTATGTGGTTTTCAAAAGATGCCATAATTGTAAATAAATATGCTTTTTTGGAATAAACCAAAATAGTAATGTCATTTATATTAATAACTCTTTAAAAAGGTCCTACCGTGTAAAAATGACTAATAAGAAATATTACCTCCGTTCCAGTTTATGTGAACCTATTTCCTTTTTGGTCCGTTCCAAAAAGAATGACTCCTTTCTAAATTCGGAAATAATTTTGCTCAAACTTATAATTCTACCCTTAATGAGAAAGATTTTATAACCACACAAATACTCTGGACCCCCTTTTGAATTGTTTAGGACCACAAATTCCAAAAGTCTTCATTTTTTCTTAAATTCGTGCCCAGGTTCACATAAACTGGAACAGAGGAAGTAGTATTGTCTTAGTGCACATCATCATCATCATCATTGTTATTGTGCATCATTGTCAGTTGTTTTTTTAATAACCGCAATGTCCGATCCAACTTGCACACGCCTCGACTAATTTTATCTCTCACCAACACAGGTACCGAGTAACTCGATCCACCAAAGTTTTGGACATATAAGAAGAAATTACCTAGTATTTTTGCTTCCGCTGGTATTTGAACTTGAGACCTCATGATTTTCAACTCACTTCATTGACCACTAAGTCACACCCTTAGGTGCTCGTCTGTTATCATTATCCCTGGATTAGTCAATTATGGACATTGTGCTTTCCTAAGTTGCGGGAGATTGTAGTCGTAACATCAATTAAAAGAAAAATTGCAGGCCTGAAACAGTTTAGTGTCAAAAGAGGTGCTATTTTCCCATGTGTGTGAGCTGCATTAATTAATCTGCACAACAGCAGGAAACATTCAAGTGAAAGAACATAGCGATTACTGTAGGAACAACACAAGGGGAAGCAGCACAGAACTACTGCTCACTGTTTTTGCGTAAGAATAGCCATCCATTTCCATCAACTTCAGAGAGTATATATGACAATGATTTTCTCAGCAGGTCTGGAATTCCTTAACACTAAAGTGTACAATTAAGTCTCCCAGATCAAACAAGCATCAACCACTCATCAGGCAAATTTTATTCACGAGAACCGGACTGCAAGCTAAAATTCTAAATAACCTGTGTTGCTTCTATGCTTTGGCGCTTGGAAGAACAATTCAAATGCAATAAAAGTTAGGTGGATTGAGCTAATTTTGAGTTTAGTTGAAAGAAAACGTAACTAGTTTTTCACACAATCGGGCAATTTGATTGCGCAGAGCAGATTTCCAAATATAAGGTACAACATGCAAGTCAAAAATATAAAATAAGACTAGGCTATATAAGCTATTCATTCTAATATTATCGAGAGAAACCAAGTTCGGACGAAACAGCAGCTGAGTTAATCCAAGACTGAGGTGCTGTCTCATGAGACACTTTTAAGTTTATAGAATTTACAGGAGACTTGAAAGTCTGGCAAGGTTTTCTGCATAGTTGAGCTCACTTCTCTCTTCTAGGCTTGGAAGATGAGTTAGGTGGTAAAACAAAAGCTGAGTAAACCGGCTAGATGAGTTTTTCAGCTATATAAAGAAGAAAGCATCTACTTTACCAAATGGACAAAAAAAAAGCTGTGATGCTCATAGTGTTATATAATATACTTTTTACATGTTTAGGTTAATTTTTGACTTTATCCCTCTCACTGTGATTAATACAATCCCACAATTCACAATTGTAGGTTAGGTTTTTCACAACAGCCTTATTTTCTCTCCTCTTTCCAGCTGCACAGTCCCTCCTCCCTCTCCTCACTGTCACTGGTGATTCCGACAAAAATTCCAGCTTTCCCTCCATTATACTATTACGCGCCATTCTGTCTGCCTTCCCAGATTGTTCTGCTTGCCATCAGTATGCTGCCTGCACCATTCTCGAGCCTTCAACTTGCTAGTTTTGCTCCCAGCCCATTAATTTTTCTCCTTTCAATTCTTTTCTTCTTGTCATGTTTGGACCCTTTCTTTCTTCAGATCAAAGACCGTATTCCTAAAATGCTGCATTAGAAAAAACTACATGAAGAGGGTTCATCTTTGTAACATGGTGCTGGAAATATTGGCCAGATCTGTGGCTCCAAACTCCAACAAACTTCCACCTTCCCCGGACGATGAACCATCTTCATGACTTCATCAGATCATCAAATAATGAGATACTACCTCACATGGACCCATGCAATGATCCATATGGGCTTATCCTGATTGTCGCAATGCTTGGGTAACACCAAAAAAGCACTTCCTACACTAAGAATGGGGACCTAATACTGATGTTTATAGGCAAGCTTCGTTAGCTTGTCCATCCAATAGGCGAATCCAGGATTTAAACTCTATGGGTTCAATCTTTAAAGTTATAAGCATTGAAGCCATTATATTTTTTAAATTATGGGTTCATACACTATTTGTTGCAGTTCTAGCGAATTTTTACATATAAATTTATGCTCCGTATCGAAAGTTATAGGTTCAATTGAACCCGTCCCCATATTGCTACATCCACCCCTGCCACCCATCAACCACAAGTGTTTACAGTAAAGAACAATTCATTGTACTTATACAGGTCTACCTATCTCCTCTGATGCCTTTGCTAGCATACCATCTTACATGAGATCGTCTCTGACTTTTGCAAAGTTATGACCAGTGCTGATTATATATATATGAAGCCCATCTTGGTGCAACCTCTAATGCAGAAAGGGAAAACCACAAGTACATCCATTTGCACTAGAAACAACAAATGAAAAACTCAAAGCAGTATTCCCCTTATCTATGTTATATGAGCCAGGTACATTCGGTTTTTTGTCAACTTTTAGTGTATTTTGAACAATTCCACGAATACACATAACCATGATGCACTCGTTCGATACAAAGTTGTGTGTAAATTGACTGTTGATAATGCACCAGCAGACTAACTATTTTAAGTCTAAACATAAAATTTCTCATACATTCCAGAAAAATTGTACGCTAGTCAGCCAAAGAGAACAAAATTCCATCCTAAACTATATAACTTCACTACAAACTGATAGTTCATTTAATTTAAATGATTCCAGCAGAATTCACTAAAAACAACAGTCACAATCAAATGGGCAAAGTGAGGTACCTCCACCATCGGACTTTCCCAAACCCAACTCCTCTTCCGTGTATATCGTTAACCCATCCGCCGTCTTTTTCCTCTGTCGACGTGGCGGCTCAGATAACACGTTAGGAACTCTACTATTACTACTTTTATCTTTGCTTTTCTTCAGCTTTTTTGGCTCTGTAATGGAATCTCCGCTTGATTTTGATTTTTCTAGTTGTTCCGGTTTCTTCCTCTTTTTTCCAGCAAATATTTCGTCGATTTCATTGCCTGATTTTTTTGGTTTAGAAGAAGGAGTTGGTTTCAACTTTTCTACAACAGGACTTGCTGTTGCATCCACTGGTTTAGGCTTCTTAGAATTACTCTTTTTTGGCATCCTTAGCTACAAAAATTATGGAAATGTAGGGTTTCCTATTCAGCAAATCGTGAAGAATTTACCTGTGATTTATTGCGAGTGTGTTCTTCTTTCTATCTTAAACCCTAGCTTCTAATGCACGGCCCACATATAGGTACCCTATGTCCCTCTTCGATTTTAAAACTTTTTTAAAGTTAACGTAATTGGTAGTATTTGTTCAAATCTAAATTTCTACTTCCACTCTTCTAATTTGTTTCATATTGTTTGATTCGTGGCTAAGTTTAAAAAAGAGAGTAATAGTTTTAAAACTTTTGCTCATAAACACAGTATAATACTTATGTCTATAAATAGATGTCAAGATTTGATGTTTATAGGTTATAGATTCTAATCAGTTTTGAGATTCTAAATTAATAATTTATACAAAATAAATCTCTTTAGACAAATACAGAGTTTGAACCAAAGTAACTAGTTCGGCCGAACCCGTACCCTATACAATAGCTCCGCCCCTATTTATAAAACTTTAAAAATTTATGGTATAAACATATTATAATATTTGTGTAATCATAAAAATTTCTTATTTAAAATAAAATAAAAAATTTAAAATTAATTATTTTTAAATATATAAATATGTCATTCTTTTTATAATAGACTAATAAATAAATCTCAAACAAATTGGAACAAAGAAAGTTTTTACATAATACAAGGAGTGTGTGTAACCATGTTACATTGTTTAAGGACATGAGCTAATCCCAAATGAATTAGAAAGGGGGGAAAATCTAATATGCCGCTGTATATATTATTCTGGATTAATTTCATAGATGATTACTTTTTTCTTTTAAAGTGTTCTACACTCAGACAATCAAGTCCATGCCGATTTTCATCTGTTTCTTAACGAGGATCATCTCCCCTTATTTCATATAACATCAAACAAGTACAGCTTATTAGTGTCTTTGAAAAGAATTGCTATCATAAACTTTGCTTTTAAAGTTGAAAGTCAAACCTTATTTGATGGAAGTCTCCTAGCAATACCCAAAATCTCTATTTTAAACTTTTCACATTGAAAAAGTATCTTTTAAGAAAATAGTGATCACATAAATTTTCAAAAGGCCCTGCACTCCTGCTGAGGAATACATAAGCAAGATGACATAACTACATGCACATTTACAAAGCATTCTATATCTTTACAGTTCAGTATAATCAAATTGAACCAGAATAACATAACTATTCAGGTGCATTGCAACCTGATGATATCCTGCTATTCTCAGATTTTCCTTTTTTAAATCCCAAAAGAAGGGGTACAACAGTTCGATAAACCACTTTATTTTCCAAGACAACAGGAACTGATTATCTTAAGGCAAAACTATTATACATATCAGTCATGACATTACCCCACATTAAGAAATGGCAAAATGTTTGCCTGTTATACAGTTTTTGGGACCAGTTTGCTATTGGAAGCAATTGAGTCTCCCCAAATGTTTCTTCACAAGCCGGGCAATGGGTATTGGGTTGTCAAAGCTTCAACTCTTCTTTGCAAATTTAACACCTTATCGATCAAAGGGAACTCCGGTGAAGTAACAAACTTCAAGAAATCTTGAAGCTTTGAACCAGAGACTAACTTCTTGGCCTCAAGAGTTATCTGCACACCCTCATTAATGAAGTCTGCAACTGTTACAAATTCCTTCTCAGAGAAACCTCGAGTGGTCATTGCAGGTGAACCTATGCGTATACCACCAGGCACTAGTGCACTTTTATCACCTACAGTTTCATTGATGGTATAAGGACAAGATAATAAGTGGCAATAACAAATAGCAATGGTTAAGCTACTATACTTACCGGGTACTGAATTCTTATTGAGCGTGATTGATGCCATGTCAAGTATTTTCTCCACTCTAGCACCATCAGTACCCTAATTGACAAATGCAGACTGGTTAATCGAAGTTTATAAGAAAAGGTTGGTTGTATCTTGGTGCTTGTAGCTGGTAATAAACATATATTAACACATAAAAGGCAGAAGGATCCTTTATAGAGCTTACCTACCCATCTTAACTATTTCATATGGAAACACTAATCAGCCAAATAATCATTCTTTATATAATTCAATATTTTAACAATTACGTATGCATCCATTTCAGTTACCCTCTAACTACCAAATTTCGAAAAAAATTCTTCAAGAGGTAATCAACAAAACAGTATGCGATGGTGCTTATAGTTTAGTAGTACATTCACCACTATTGAGATACCAGTATCTTCGCATGTCCTAGTTAATATTTCTGTTGAAAAGATAACTGGACAAGAAACAGTGCAAAATGCAGAACTTACTAAGGGCCTGAGATCCACTAGAACCAAATGATTGTCAGTTCCTCCAGAAACCAGCTTGTACCCCAACTCCGTTAACCGGCTTGCAAGAGCTCTACAGTTAGAGACCACCTGGAAGCATAAACAGCATATGAATTATATTTCCCGCATAAATGGCCACAATCTAGTGAAAAGACAGGAATATGCATGCCTTGTGCTGATAAGCCTTGAAATCAGGTGATTTGGCATACTTCAAGCAAACAGCTAATCCTCCAATTGTGTGATTATGCGGGCCACCCTGTGAAGACAAGCAATGCTATTGCTAGTCAAACTCATCCACATTATATTAACATATCCAAAAGGTCAAAATGGCATTGGTAGGTTTTAACAATCAAGGGAACTAAAGACAAAATGTGAAGTAAAATAGTGTACGATGCCCATGGCTTTGATCTAGTGGTAAGAGCGCAGCATGTGATGTGTGGATTAGGCGCACGTCACAGGTTCAAGCCTTGCCACAGACAAACGCCTGGTATTTAAGTGGAGAAGGGTAGAGAGGCAAGCCCATTATCGATCGAGTTTTAAACGGTGCCCTACTGGCCCTCGGGGATTTCAAAGTTACCAAAAATAAAAACATACTGTTGATAGAAGACAAAACTGACCTGCAACCCAGGAAAAACAGCATTGTTGATGGCAGTTTCCAAATCAACACCTAGAATGGGATCTTTCTTGAAGAATATCATTCCTCCTCTAGGACCTCTCAGAGACTGAACAAAGTAGTGCAACTTAGGGCCATTTTTATCAAGAAAAATACTCCAACAACACAATGAAAAGCTTTCTAAACCCACAGAATATTAGAGTTTATGGATGAAGTAGGTAGTCTTTTAAGTATGTTACCTTTTCCAATGAAGACCTACTAGGTTTAGAAAATATGTAAATCTATAATTTAACTTTACACTGCATGATGTAACCCACATTCCTCAGGCAGCTGGTCTGAGCATTTCAGCCCATTTCCAACAGTAACAACAATTTGACAGCCCCAATAAAAACTATGAAAACTATAAGAGAATTTTAAGTTCTAACTGAGATCATCTTATCTTATTCCCACAAATTACTGAAAGTCCTCTTAGCTCCGGAAATTTGAAAAAATGACAGAATTCATATGTTCTTGGAACAGAGGATCAGCTTAATTACTTGAATCTGGACAGAGATGAATGGCCATGTTAATCAGGGCAGTGAAAATAAAACTAGAAAAGATTATTTTTGTATTTCATAAGTTTCTGTTTGTCTTTTCTGTGGTTTATTAAAATTGTCTTTTTGAGTGGTGGAAGGGGCTTGGATGGCTACTGGACAGAACTCCATTAGGAAGAAAATATAAATCATACCTTGTGAGTAGTCGTTGTAACAATGTCACAGTATTCAAATGGATTAGCAACTACAGAGGTGGCAACAAGCCCACTAATGTGAGCCATATCCATCATGAGAAAGGCTCCAACAGCATCTGCTATCTTCGGTACGTGTCACAAAAGAAATAATTAGATGCAGAAAACAAAAATATCAACAGGGAGAAATTATCATAGCGGAGCAGTAACTCCAACTAGCAAACTCCAAACAATATATACCTTTCTCATACGAGGATAATCAAAATCTCGGGGATATGCACTAGCACCGGCAATAATAAGTTTTGGCCGAAAAAGGATTGCCGTTTTCTCAAGCATTTCATAATCAACAAGTCCTGTTTAAAGTCAAAAAGAACTTCCTATTGAATGACAACTCTAGTTAAGAGTCTAAATTCATCTATTAAGAATTTAATATAGGCATGCAGTACCTGAAGATTCATCAAGCCGATAAGGCATGGATTCAAAGTAAATAGATGTGCCTGAAACTCGTCTTTTAGGAGTCATAAATCCATGGGACAAATGACCTCCATGAGGTAAGTCCAATCCCTAAGTGAATTACAATGAAAAATGATAAATATCAATCCACGCAAATCTATAAGACCAAAGGAAGAGGCTGCTTACAACTAACCATGATCCGGTCATGTGGATTAAGAATTGCTGTATAAACTTCAAAATTTGCTGGAGAGCCAGATAGTGGTTGAACATTGACACCCCACTGTTTTCCATCTAAGTTAAAGGCTGCCAAAGCCCTCTCTTGACAGAGTATTTCTAACTCGTCAATGTACTCGTTTCCACCATAATATCTGAGATGAAAAAGGAATTTATTTACGAAAACAGAGGATGGACATTGTTAAAGAAGCTACATAAAAGAAGAAAAAATGGGTTCACTACCATGAAGGGATTCATGTTTCGCATCAAATAAACATACCACACAAAAAATAAATAATAAAGAAAAAACAATGATGCTTTTTTTTGGTAGGGATAAAATTCACCTTTTGCCTGGTAGTCCTTCGGAGTATTTGTTTGTAAGGCAAGAACCCACTGCCTCCATCACTGCTCGAGATGTGAAATTCTCAGAGGCAATAAGCTCTAAGCTCCGAAATTGGCGTTCCTTCTCTTTGTCAATAATACCACGAACTTCAGGATCAGCTTCAGCCAATTCATAGTCTATAAAGCTGCTCCCAGCACCTAGAAAGTACAGTGGCCAACTTTAAGTAACAGAGTAAACGAATAAGCTATAAGAAGAAGGAGCCAAAATTCCAATTCATCAACTTCAACTATGATATACCGCTGGAATAAGGGAATGAAAGCACCAAGAAGTGGCTTGATTACTACGAACTAACATAGGAAGGAAAAGGAAGGAAAAATAATGCAATTACAAGAACTATGGAGAGATTCCAAATTACAAAAATTGCATTCATATTCGTCCACAAAGAAATGCATGACAAACATGAAATAATTTAGCTAACCCCAACTTGTTTGGGATTGAGGCATAGTTGTTGTTTTATAACTTTTGAGTTCTGCCAAATGCCAATAATGTCATTACCCTGGGTTGATTTCATAAACATTATAAGACCAAAAGGCTGATGGAAGAAAAAGAGCATTCCCTACAGAAGTAGGTATAAACACATGAATAGAAGTCAAAACAATAAGTCCTTTATATAATTGATTCAAGCGCTTCTAGCATATATAGCAGTTAAATATCTAATCTTTTAACGTGTGAATTAGCTAATCTGGTTTAGAGTATAATATAATTCAAATTTAGACAAAAATCTAAAAAAACCATCTTTATACTGCCAGCATGATATAGGAGCACAAAACATAGGCAACTAGACAAAAACATATATCAAGATAACATCAATTTTGCACTAACAATCCAAAATATATATGAAAGGGAGCCTTGGTGCAATGGTAAGAGTTGTCGTAGTTTGACCAGGAGGTCACAGGTTCAAGACGTGAAAACAGTCCCTTGCAGAAATAGCACAGTAAGGTTGCACACAATAGTTAGTGCACCGGGTTACCTTCTTAATCCTCTTCATACATAACTAAAGATAGGAATAAACAAAGAATAAAGATAGAACCACAGTTTATTCATGAGATTATGAGATGTAACCCCTTCAAATGAATCAAATACAAATACTAAAACACAAACTGGAGCCAAGAAAAAGCAAAAACAAAAGTTTGAAAATTACCTGCCATTTCTGGGATAGGAACAGAAACAGAAGAAGGAGGCCTTCCTGTGACCAAGCTCCCTTCAAGTTGAGAGGCTCCGCAAGGCTTAACAGAGCATAATTTAACCATCCCATTTAATTTTATCATTTCACCTTTTAAAGGAAAAGCTGATCCTTTAACCCACACAGGTTGCTGAATAAAAGAACCCATCACTGCAGCTCCACAGCAAGCCTCCATATATACTGTAGCAAGACTAAAACTTCATTAAATCCTGCAACTTAATTAAGATAAGTTAAATTACTTCAAAAACAGCAAATTTGATGCAAACACTCTTAGTCTGCTTTTATCAACAAAAAGAAAAGGCTTTTCATTTTTAATAACTAATAAACAAAAAAATAATCATAAAAAATGATGAGAAAACATTCAAATAATTCAAATTTTGTAAATTATTTAAAAAGTCAATACAGGAACTCACAATTCGAAGTTCAAAAAATTGCTGCACAGATAAGGTTTTTTTTACCCTATCAGATATAGATATTCAGGTTCTGTTGCGGTGCTCTGTGTTTCTTACCTAGTATAAATATAAAGTAGTTTTATAAGCTAAAGGAGAAGAGAAGATAAACCCTAGCTCAGTTACAGCGTATATGGAAAAGCGCGCGCCGAATATTGGAATTTCTTAAAAACAGGTTCTGTGACCATGGTCTAATGGTCCGTATACTTTCCGAAAGAATTCAGTGTATTTAAACAAACTAACCACGTATTGGAGAAATCCATTTTACGTTGTAATTTGCTCTGTCCCTACAAATATTACGTTTACTTTTTTATTTTATTATTAATTACATATTTTTATAATTACATAAAATATCACAAATTTCAAAATCTGAGTCTATGTAAAAAGGTTATTCCCTTTGTTCCAATAACACTTATAGTTTTTTCGAGATTAAAGACTATCGGTGCATATAACTAAATATTAGTAAAGTTGATATGGAAGAAGCGAAACACAAAATCCCCCAAAAGAAAAACCCGAAGGAAACAGAGAGAGTGTTGAGGACAGAGGGGAAAATGGAGGGAGTAGAAGGACAGGGCTCAAATCGTTACACTCTACAACCAAGTCGATTAGCAAGCGAAGACATACTATTGTGTGTAGATGTAGACAGCGAATCACTGGTTGAAATGAAGGTTTCGGTTGCGGGTGGGCGACCTTATAGCAGATTAGACTCCATTAAGCAAGCCATCATTCTCTTTATCAACGCTAAGCTTACCATTAACCCAGATCACCGTTTCGCTTTTGCTGCTCTTGGCAAATCCGCTTTTTGGGTATCCTCTTTCTTCGAATCTCTCTTTCTTACTCCATCACCATCCTTCCTAGCAGTCACCTCATAAATTACTTTTTAGTATGTCTCAGAAATGGTAAGTACTCCTCTTAAATTTATATAACACACTTTCCTTATTATTGCATATAAAAAATATATATATATTCACATTTCTATATTCAAAAATAATTTAACTTTAAAAATTTTATTTTACCAACTTTATAACTATTGCCTCTTAAGTTTTTAGCACGATTTTTTTTCCTTAATTCGTGCCGACATAAGCGGATTCAAGATTTAAACGCTATGAGTTCAGAAATTTTTAGCATTGAACTCATTATATTTTTAAAGTTATGGGTTCAAATTTACTATTTGTTGCAATTTTAGTAGATTTTACACATAAATTTATGCTCCGCGTCGAAAGTTATGGTTCAGTTGAACCCGTCACCTATAGGCTACATACGCCCGTGCGTGCCGAGTCAAATAACCTCATATGCGGATGGAGTACTATATTTCTATATTTAAAATTAATTTAACTTTAAGTTTTCCAATTACTCTTAACGAATACTATCTATTTCAAGAATAATACATTTCTATATTCAGAAACAGTTTAAATAAATTTAAATATCTCACTATTTTCTCTTTATTTTCTTTTGTAGAACTCTCCTCCGTGAGTTATGTGATACTCTTTTCTTTTTAAGAATTTCCTAAAAAGCATGATATATTTCTATATTTTGAAATAATTTAACTTTATACATTTTTCCCTTAATAACATGATATATAATCACACAAATATTATAACTTGTTTTAGGTCACAAATATTATAACTTGTTTTAGATCACAAATTATAAAAGTCTTGTTTTTCTTTCTTAATAAAAGTTGTGTCCCCAGTCAAACAACATTGGGATGGAGGGAGTAATAATTTCGTGGTGCTAATAGATTGCTGGTTGAACTTTGACTTAGGTAATGCTCATAATATATTAGAATGCCAGATACTCATATGCAATTGTTGAATATTTTGATTTTGCTATCTTTCCATAGTGATACTTGTTCTTTTTCAAAAAAATTAAAGTAATTGGACAGGCCTTTTTCTTTGTTGTGGCTTAATACGAGGCAATTATGATATTTCCAATCAAAGAGCAAGGAGAACATTCACAAGCTGAACTGCAATAGTATTTCCTTTGTCTTGTTGTTGTAAAACGCAAAATGTATATGATACAATTATGTTAATACTTGATAGACTTTCTCGGTGACCTTGCTGACTAGGCTCAGAGGCGGAGCCAGAATTTTAACCTTATGGGTTCTGAATTTTAGAGCAACGACTTCAAGTGTTAGTGAATGGATTCTAAATTTAATATCTGTACATATTTAATGCATTCTAAACACCAAATACACTGTTTGAGCAAAAACTATTGGGTTCGATCGAACCCGTAGTTTGGCTTGTGTCTCTGCCTCTGACCAGACTACTGGATTTTTGTAATGCTCCTGTTGCAAGACCATCGCAGTGCTGCTGATTAATAAAATTTTGCTTACCTATCCCGAAAAAGAAAAAAGGATAAGAAGGAAAATTAATTCATGTTATCACATTCGCTTTTACTCTGGTTCAATTGGTGGACTATACTAAGCTTGTTTTTTGTTTCTTATATGTGGCATTTGATGGAAGATTACCAGTTACCGTAGCTTGATTAAGTAAAATTTTCACTAGCCAGGAGTTGACATTACTTTTTAATTTCTCATACAAACATATCGAATAAGTTTTAACATTAGCGTTTTGGTTAAAAACTATGTAATGCTCATTCTTTCCTTATTGTTTACAACTTGTCAAACTTAATTACTGCAAGCTTAGAACATATTGCTGTCACTGATAGGAATACTTGCTTCTTAGTATGAAAAATTAGTATGAGGAAGTTTGTAAAAGAGTGTGAATGATTGTTGAATATCTCCTTAACTTTGATGCACTTTCTTCTCATTTTTCCCCTTTGCTACTGTGATGTATTATTTGATGTATGACTTTCTAACAATACTGCGGAATTATGTTAGCTTTTATTGATGGCTTCCCAAATACCTGTTCTGCAAACATTTTTATGTTTTTATTATAGTAAAATTTCATTAAAACTTTTATGGATTTGCTTAAGTTATGTTTTCATCTCCGTATCTCCTTCCTGTTCCATTTTACTGGTGGGGAAAGTTAGGTGGCTGTAGAATTGAATTGGAATCATCTTCTCAATTTTCTATTCGTGAAGGTTCGGAAAGAGTTTACTAGTGACATTGACTCGGCAATTTCTGCATGTCGGGGTATCACAGCAGTCGATTCACCTTGTGGCCATGCAGACCTTACTCAACTATTTCGGGTGGCAGCTCATGAAGCCAAAAAGTCACGTGCACAAAATCGGATACTCAGGGTGGTAAGGATGTGATTAGCAATCACCAAAATTTGTCTTTGCATTTTATTTGCTTTGGGGCATCTGTTGCTTAACCTTTGATATTGGAGAAAGTTAACATTTGGTTTGCCAAGAAATTCATAGAGGCTACTTTGCATATGAATGACACGCTTGGTAAATCAGCTACTCATTTTTGGTCTGATGTAATGAACCAATGTGTTATATTCTGTAGAATTATTTCTTAGCTTTTAGTCAATTCAAGAAAAATGGCTTTGCTTCGTCATGTAGTTGAAACTGTTGAAGCAATAAGTAATGGTATAGAAAAGAAAAAAAGTAATGGTATAGGAGTTACCCTGTAGTTGTCAACTACCTGTTGGAGTGAATTATGGTTGTGAAGCATTCTTTTGCATAAATTACTTTCAAATTGGATCCTTGTAATTTAGAGACAACACATTGGTCAAAGTAGGGTGATAATACTACTAAACAGGAGTTTATTATCCTTTGGCAAACAGGGGTGTTATGAACTAAGAGCTCTTCAGAAGCTTGAAGTAAAGTAAACTTTTCAAATATGATAGTGGGTTTTAGGTAGTTGCTAATCATGAGGGACAGTATGCAGAAAAGCTAGAGAAGAAGGGAAGGTAAATTTCTTGAAATCACATGAATTTATTAAGGTTACAGCAGTTCAGATTGGTGTTAGTTGGGTGTGAGCTCCATCTGACAAGGATAACATATAGGGTTTGTCAAGTCAAATGAAGGATGCAGCTGACGTAGATTCAGGTGTCTATATGCATAGAAATATCTTTTACTTCCTTTAGAGAAGTCTTAACTTGCATCAAAGGTCATACTGCAAGCATAATCACCAGCTGTCACCTCCTTCGGCTTTATACAAGAAATCCTAACTACTACAGTGTAACCCAAAAGTAATTTCCTTTAGATAATTTGATCAATGGCTAGTGCTTGCGTGTTAAGTGTACAGTTGAGTTGTGTGTGCAGGTTCTTCTATTCTTTCATGTCTATGGTAATTGCTAACACGCCACATGCGGATACTAATATGTCGGTTACTATAGCAAAAGTTAGAAGTACTGCATAGTTCAGTGACAGAATGTCTGAAATTACTTCAAAAGCCTGTGTATGGATGCTTTACGAATATTTTGAATACTTGGTCTTTAGAGTGCCTACTAGATCTTTCTTTCTCTGGCTGGTCATGGATCTACATTTTCTGTGTCTTGTGGCATCTAAAGAGGTGTTTACCTTCGTGACATTTGGTCGTTCTCATTTTCTTTGGTCTATCTAATATTTACAGAGTTTGAACCATTCCACTAAATGCTTTCTTCTGAATGAACATTTTCGTAAAGCATCCGATGCTTGCAAATTTAATTCTCATTCTATACATCTAGTTACCAGAAAGTGTTAACATGTTCTTTTCTCATTATTATGCAGATACTTCTATATTGTAGGTCATCTATACCACCACAGCATCAATGGCCTGCTACCCAAAAACTCTTCACTTTGGACGTAGTTTACCTTCATGACAAGCCTGGACCTGACAATTGCCCTCAAAAGGTGTATGATGCCCTCGTGGAGGCCCTTGAACATGTCAGCGAATATGAAGGTTACATATTTGAGAGTGGTCAGGGGCTTACTCGTGTCTTGTTCCGTCATATGTGTACACTCTTGTCCCACCCGCAGCAACGTTGCGTGCAAGATGACCTTGACATTCCCAGGTCTCTTACAAAGAAGTCAGTTACGGTTGACTCAGCTCCAGCTGATGAAAATGCTGCTCTCTAACCAATGATACGTATTGTAAACAAATCAAAGCAACTCTCCCTGGTTGTGTTGTTTTTCGTCCTTCTTGTTCTAGTGTTCTGTGGAGGACTAATCTGGACAGGGTACTCTGGTCAACTATGTAACCCCCCCCCCCC